GCGAAATACATCGAAATATTGGAGGAAAGACTCTTGCCACTTTATTCCTCGGATTTCGTGGACAAGAACACAACATTGTTCTAAGAAGATGGAGCACCGTGTCACACTACTAAAAACACCCAAAAGTGGCAGGAAGAAAATGGTATCCAGAAGTTGCCCTGGATGATTCTCACGATGCCCCAAAGGATCAACGCACTCCACGAGGCGAAAGGAAGATCTACTAGATATTAATTAAATTATAAATATATCCATTCATGTGAATATGACTGAAAAATATCATTTTTTTCTGAAAAGGTGGTGTCTATTTACTTGTGACCATGCTGTGTATATAAATTTTATGTTCTTAATTTTATATGGAAATATTTTATAAAATCCTGAATTTCTTCTAAAAAATGTTTCATGAGGTATGCATGTGAGCAGCGTGGAGTAGCTCATGGATAATGTAATTCAGCGGTGTAACATGAGCTCCACATTTCCCAAGTGATATACAACTTATAATGGAGTGAATAGTAGTTAGGGTTCAAAGGGCAATAAAACAATACAATTTAAGTATAAATAAATGTATACTGTTACGAGTTTAAAGCTACTTAGGATAAACAAATGTAGGTTCATGTTACAATTTGAAGTCACTCTAGAAAGAAAAAAAGGATAATTTAGATTTTCTTTGGTGGTTATGAGGTCAGTCAAATTGACCAACGTTGTATAGAGTTAGGGTATTTAGGATGTTTTAGAGACAACTGAACTAAAATTTGAGATTTTTCAGATAAAGAAAGGTATTTTCAATCTTAACATGAAAGCACTTTGCACTCGGACTAGTAAAAAAGAAAAAATTCCAGGCAATATATCACCTTTCTGCTGGTAATACATAATTTGGAAAATGGTAAATATCACATTCCAAATGTTTTTGTTTTTCAAGGTGGTTTCAGGTTACAGCTACAAAGGTATGATAAAAGTGGAGATTTGAGACAAATTTTAAGAATAACTTTGTATGTTATTAGATAAACATAATGAAGCCCTATTGAGGAAATATCATTTCTGAACAGACTAGATGCCAATAAGATACAGCTCCAACCACACTTTCAAATCATTGTCAGTTCTTTTGTAAAATGCAAATAGAATAAAATACAATTTCAAGACATCTCCCATGGACTTTTGTGCCCTTGAGTTTCTCAAGTGGCAAATAGTCATCTGTGCACGGCTTATGGTGTTTGGGAAAGCATGTAAAAAAAGATGGAGTAAAATATTAACTTAAGAGAATTGCACAAAAGCTTCCAGCACTGTAAATTACACTTTAGAGCAATAAATCATAGCTAAAGCTATTACACAGAAAGCAATCAGTGGTGGAAAAAGGAAGTTTAAGACCCAATCAATCATTCTTGCATCATTGCCATAGCTTATTAATACCACTCCCTACTTTTCTAGAACTCTCATAATATTATAAATTTCATTTAGAGTGGTTTCACTATTCATTGCTTTAACATCACTTTTATTTAGCAGTTCATATATTAATTTTCTTCTCCTTAACCTTGTTTGCTCTGTCATATCTATCTTTTTTTTATCCATCCCTTCTAAAAGTTAACATTTCCCTACACTGAAAATGTATTTCCAATGGATTCTTACCTCCATTCATATAACAGTTTTTCTCGACTTGTAATGCCTTCTATGTGCAAATTTTCACTCACCAATAAATAGCCTTAAAACTCCCACCTACACTCACATGAGGGAGCTGCATGATAGCATGCAAATAATCATGCAACAACCCTCCACCAATAAGAGTGCAACACAACTCCTAGCACAGCCGACTCCCTCTATGTAGCTTAGCTCAACTGCACTTTGAGATTGAACAACATAACAAGAAAAAGGCACCAAAAATGGGGAGGAAGGGTGGGTAGTGTATAGAAAAATGTTAACTTCCAATACAACATCTTACCTCTTCTCACATTACAGCTAGAATCCCACACTGAACTTGTGGAGGGACCGGTGTAACATGACCTAGATGAGCCCCCTGAAGAAATCCCATGGGGTGTGTGAATAAAGAATATGTAAAACACATCCCTGGGAGACCACACCACTTTTGGCTCAGGTATACTCCTCACTTCTTAAAATTTATGTGTTGAAATAAGGGCAGAATCATAGGAGGAATCCCTTAAATGAAGGGACCCCTGTGTAAAGTGACTAGGATGAGGCAGCAATGTGGAATTCTACCTCAATTAACACCAACTGTACTTTGATATAA